AGTAGCGCACGCGCCCGTTGGCGCCCTCGTCCACGTCCGTCGCCGACACCTGCGGGCGATACACAGCGTTCGCAACAACCCTCCAAACAAGCATTACACTGAGTGGGATGGGCCGTTTGGTTGAATTCAATAGATCGGTTGGTCGGTCGGCTGATTGGTCAGTTAGTTGTTTAGTCGATTGAGTGTTTGATCAGTTTGTCGGTTAGTTGGTCAGTCTGTTGGCTGTGCAGTTGGTTGGTTGGCTAGTTGGTTGTTTGCTTTGCTGGTTGGTTGCTTGATTGCTTGCTTGAAAGGATTTATTAGACGCAGTAGCTACAATAAAAAATATTAATCCAGTCAGTCTCATCAAGTGTTTATAGTTATTACAGACACAATTACTTTTTTCTCTGTTTCACTAAATTTAAAGAATCGAATATTTATGTTGTGTCACAATAAAAATATTATGGAAAACTAAAACTCTTGTACGAATCACTGCAAAATACATTGATAATGGCATTCATTCAAGAAACGATATGACTTAAATTATGACAGTTGACTAAGAGCTTGAAGCACCATATTGGTTTGCCGAAGAGAAATAATCCACAATAAACATGTTTGTGTCCCACTAAAAGTAAGGTAAACTCACGAGATGTATTATAAACGAATATTTTTCTAGTTTGAAGAAAGGATAAAATCATGAAAAGTAAAGTTATTCATTTTGATATTTAAATTAAAGTTCCTGCTCTCAGAACTTGGGAGGATTGCGCAGATGTCTGGAACATAAGGGTTTTAATACGGAAAAAAAAGCAATAATAAGAACAAACAGTAGTTAACATATTACAGATTTACATTGTTAAACAACTTCTGCTGATGTAGTCCTGGTGTGACCTTATTAGTAATGTCAACTGTTGGTACACAAGCAATATTGCTCACCAAATTGCTAAAATGGGATACCCGACGTGACAGAAACGTTGGATCTCCTGTGTACTTTTATGTCTCCTACACTGCCTACAAATCAGGCTTTGAAGAAAAGACCCCGAATTCGTTGTGTAAAATGACAGCATACATTGAACTCTCTTCTCTCTTGGGTGCAAAAACGTCGCATGCCAGGAGGGTTTCTAGCGAACGAAAATATTCGCACTAATTCGATCCCACATTAGACTCTATTCGATTAACATAGCCATTCATCATAAAAACCTCGCGCATTTTTAATCAAGAACATGGCACGTTTTGTTCGTGCGAGAAAAATTACAGTTAGCTGGACGTTTTTTCTTCAACCGGCTTCTTCGCTTATTTGCCTTCTGGTTCCTTCCTTCTCGCTCCCACTCTTTGTACACATTGTCTCGGAAAGCGCTTCGAACAGCACTCGCTCCTTCCCAACCTCCTCCTCCCCCCCCACCCCCGCCGGTGACGACCTCCTCTTCCGCCTGGTCGCCGCTCTCCTTCTCGCCGCGGTTTGCCAACTCTTGGACATTACACTATCGCTAGATCAAGACTGGCAACTTCCAAACGAGAGGTGGGAAACTTGAAAACCGTCTACCTCATTACCATGAGACCGCAATTTGTATGGCCATTATCCCGGGGAATAACGATGTCTTTCGGTTTCTGAGGCGCATAAAAGCGATATGGGTGAAATTTTTGCGAATTCAGAGTGCCCCGTGTGGCCATGCGGGCCGACAAATTCGGAGCTGAAGTTTCTAACTAAAAGGCGGAACGAGCTGGTCTAACAGATGTTATTGTTGCGTTACCATCCTCGAGTCTTTGGAGCGTGAGAACTGGAATTCTGGTGTTAGTATTTCTTCTGAGAAACATATCTTTATTATCAGTGCGTCGTAAAGCGAAGTGCGTGAAACAAATATGATTTTATGAAGCAAAATTCTTTGAACGTCAAAGACAATACAGCAACTTAAGTATTTTATTGCTCAATGTCTTCACAATTAATTCTAAAGGCACTGTGAAAGATGTGTAATGATAAATATAGCTGTTTCGCTTTAAACCTTTTACAATATTCCTTTATAAAATTTTCCGTTAGAGTATTTTTGGTCAATAGTTGAAAATTCATAGATTCGGCCCTTAGAATGGAAGATATATTTGATTCAAAATTAATTTCTAATGAAAAAAGCAGAAAAAGACACAATAATTTGCTGACATTTTTTAATTACTCATACAGACAGACAACTTGTTACTCGCTCCAATTACATGACGTACAAAGGAAACGACCATGCTCTCACGCTGCCTCAACGTATTTAATGATAATATGCTATTCGACAAACAACTTCCTGTTCTACGCGCAGTAGTTTCATTTACTATTGGTAAAAATGCTGAATTGTACACGCTCCATAATACTGAAAATCATTTTAACTTCAGTTTGACAAATCATTCTCATTATAGAGTTTTTCCAAGGTATAAGCTGTAACATCATTCTTTAATGCCCCTCTAGAATCAAATTTGCCACTTAAAATATCCGATCGAAGCTTCTGGCATGAACAGATCTCTTGCATATGTACATTTGTCACTTGGTGTCAAAAAGAAGACAACCCCGCCCTTCAAATTACCTGAAATTATCCTTCATTTGAATTCCTCTGACTCGTCAGCTTTCTCTCTCCAGTAACATTCTACAATCACCCGAAATCTCATCAATATCTAACTCTCACATCTACATTATTGATTGCGAACATGAATGTTTGGACCTGAAAGACAAGAGACTTAATTTTCTTTGACTACCAGAACTCATGACTTACGACACGTGCGGCCTCTGGCGCTCTTCGTGACACTGACGTTTAAGATATAGTAATCGCAAGACACCGGCACTTCTGCGTGGAGTATTGACATGTCGCTCCATGATATTCCGTTACTCGGTCACGAGAGACTGAGATTCCCTTCTGAAGGCTTGGTAGGTCTTTGTTCCGGTTCTTCGCACAGATTTCGGACGCAAGCTGCGTAAATTATCCGAGATAGGAAACCGAAAGCTCGGCAAGTGAAAGCCGTTACAATTATTTTTCATCTCAGTTTTCTCTTTTCGTGATAACGCGAATGAAAAATACTTTTTCTCGATGGCCCGGTGTCGAAGAAGCGATCTGGCAGCTGAGTGCGAGGACAAACAGGCAGATCACGGGAGCCGAGCGCAGGCGGAGCTCTCGTCATAGTCTTGTTCGTTACGGCTCAGTGACTGCATGCATAATGTAAATAATGAGGTAGAAATAGGAGAGAAATAACGTAATTTGTATTGGGACGCGTCTTATGTTAGGGGTTTTCCTTCAAATAGCAGGTTTTTCTTGCTGAGACGAACGATGGACTAACTGATATACAGCGAGTCTGTCATACTGATCTGCCCCCTGAAGCGAATTCCAGACGCGCATTTGAAATGAGAATTCAAAAGACCATCTGATTGGGGTACTTCGCCCCAGGCCCATGTGGACACGGTAATTGTAGAAATAAACGAAATAAATGTCTACTTCAGCTTCACAGTGCTGCAGGGAAAGGTCAGGCTGTGTAGGATAGCTGCCTAGATTTAGGTCTGTAGACAAAGAGTAATTGTAACGTCTTGTTCTTAAACTATTATTCGGAAAATACTCGCGCTGTGTAATCCTCTCTATGATCATAGAGAGGATTTCCTCAAGGTTTTTATTCTTACCATGTAAGCAGCATTCGTTACACAAGAGAAAAAAAAAATTCTTGGTCATTCATAAGTTTCGTGGGTACCAAATGAGATAGCCTGAAACATTTCCTCTGTCATTCGTGTACATGCTAGTTCCAATATTCTTACTGTTATAGCACTGTTGTTCCAATAGCGTTGTTAAACGCTTGTCCAAGATTCCATTTCAAGCGGTGTAAGGAAATCGCTTTTACACTGACAAAAATCTGACCCAAATGATTTGTTTGATTACGTAACAAAATATTCTTAACGGCGCAATTTTCTTACTTATTTACCAGCAAATAAACCAGTCGAAGTAATTTAACTGCTTTTATGTCGTAAAAGTTTTACTATCTCCACTGTACCTAGTTATTACTTGCAATTCTATAATGGATAATTCATACAGTCTCTACCGTTTCTTTTTTTCATAAAAAATAGAAAAGTATGCTGTAATAGATTTTAGATAGTTGTTATACTGTATTTCTGCAAGCTTTAAGTTCATTTTCGTATCAGACCTTTATAACAGCTCAATAATCAGTCGCCCCTGGCTGTCGCGACTTTGTGATGGTGAATCACTAGCATTGTATGAAAAAATCACCTCCTTCGATCACGTCTTTGAGTACAATTCAATACAACACCCTCCCCAGCAACTTCCCGATGGAGCCGTCATAGAGACGTTCTAGATGGCGGACGCCATACACATTTAAGGTGTCTTTGGCTCTCACTGGCACTTGCATTAGATTTAAACGTGAAAATGTGAATTGTTAAATTCGATAAGCAAACTTGAAAACACTCATAATTAGTATTTTCGGTTCGAAGCAATGAACGGTACATCAGTGAAACCTCAGGTACATCGAATAAGATTGTTTTCTTTTAAAATCAGGAAGTTTTCCTTGTTTCCCAGCGGTGCTTAGAGCGAACATGGAAACTTCCTCCGTTCGCCTTTGGTCGGCAAATTTAGTACTATTCACCCGCTGTCACTTGCATTTATTTATTGCCTTAAAAATACATATCTCACCTGCAGTACGCTGGCCCCTATGCTGGCGTTCTCGGGCACAGACGCGCTGTACTGCTTGGGGTCGAACACGGGGCTGTTGTCGTTCTCGTCGAGCACCCGCACCAAGACGCGCGTGCGCGAGGCGCGGGGTGGGTCGCCGCGGTCGCGCGCCGTCACCTCCAGCGTGTAGTTGGCCCGCGCCTCGCGGTCCAGGCGGCCGGCGACCCGCACCAGCCCGTCCACGGGCCCCAGGGTGAAGAGCGCGCTGTCGGGCCCCGGAGCCAGCGAGTACTCCACGTACGAGTTGCGGCCCTCGTCGCGGTCCACGGCCTTCACCGCCATCACCACGGTGTTGGGCGGCACGTTCTCCGCCACCGCCGTCTCGTTGGGCGTGATGAACTCGGGCGCCGCGTCGTTCACGTCCTTCAGGACGATGGTGACCTGCGAGCAGAGCAAACGCGCGTCCGTCAAGTCCGCGCTCTGGGCGTGAGGGGGGGGGGTCCGTTCTCCGCGATCCGGAGAGCGTCAAGCTGCCACTGGCGTCGTTTTCGTGGTAGCTTCGAACATCTGACACGAAGCTAGAGCAGGGCTCAGCAAGTGGGCGGTCCGCTTGGCGTGCTTTGGCCCGGCGTTGATCTGCTTGTTGAGTCAACCCGACGGAAGCGGAGGGGAGGCGCTCGGGCGCGATCGGTTCTAGTCTACACTTCGATTTATTTATAATAGTCATCCAATCGGGAGCTCGAACGTCACCATAGTGACGCCACTGAAGTGATGGTCAAGCGCCCGATCCGATGACACCGTAACAGCTGACTTACGTCAAGTGTCACTACAAGTAAATTGAAGTTTAGGGAAAGGAGAGTGCCACTGCAGTGGACCGCCATAGGCAGTCTGGCTCCTATCCTTGCGTTTGAGCAACCTTGCGCTAGAGGGATAACTGAGCTTGTGTATATGAAAGAGAATTCTAGATGATAATTATTGAGATGTATATAAAATATGGTTTGGTTTTGAAAAATTGCGAACAAATTCACAGCCTCATCAAGGTACCGAACTTTTCTGTTGCTATTGAACGAGTACCTACAGGAAAGAAAAACGATTCTCATAATTAAAATCAGGGAATGAAATGAAATTTCTAAGTTTTCTTTTATCCAATTTTCGACGGCAACGTTTAGAAGACATCACATAAAAAGTACTGAAGAAACACATACGTTCAAGAGTCAAGATCATCGGATCATCGTTTTGGCATAATAGATATCTTCTTAAAAAAGCATGTAAAACTAAGGTACAAAAGTAGGAAATGGATAGTAATAAGTGCCCTTTATTGTGAGTACTATTTGAATACCTTTTAAAGAACACATTACTAAACTTCAGTCTGTTTGCTGTCAAATTTCATTTGGGGAGTATTGGCGAATTGAAAAATCTTGAAACTGCAATTAAGGATCTTAAATAAGGTTTTCTGCAAAAGCAATAACATAATGTATTTCTCCAGGCACCCTTTTCCTGAGGATTGATAGTCCAATTCTGCTTTTATGGAAAAGAAAATAGAGAATGTGTAATGCATATTCCAGATCAAATAGCCTTGAGTATAACTAATTATGTAATTTCTACTCATCATTCCAATATCACAGAAATGTATTAACTGAACTTGATTTTTTACAGAAACGTTAAAATTCACTATAATTAACCAACATTTAGTAGGTTGACTGTGTTGAATATCAGGTAGAAGAGTAAGAATTAAGTTCTAGAGTTCCTCTTGCTGTTTTCAAAACATACATTTTATTGAACTAATTATAAAATAGTTTTTAAGAAGAGAATATTAACATGTAGTTATATTTCAATATAATAAATTTTCAATTGTGAACATTTTTCATGAATTTGTCCCTGGAATTGTCGTAAATTATCATTATTTAGAAAATATTTTCAGGGTAATATTTGAATAGATTTGTTGAATCCAAAATAAAAATTAATTATATTTCTTTTTGTTAAACTGATTTTGTATTGATATACTGTTTTATTTTCCTGAAAATTGACATATTACTGTTAAAATCTTCAGTGACAATCTGTTCAATTGCATATCAAATTCTTCGAAACCTACTGCTTTAACTGTTTGCAATAGCAAATTAATGAAGGGGGGAAAAATCAATAAATTAAGGGCAAGATATCCCCACATCCATAAACACATAATTCATATTAATAAGTTAAATCTATAACCTTTATTTATAAGTGCAGGAATTACACCCAGATGATATTGTAATTAAATTGTAAAAAATTGTAATTAAATGGTCTCATTAATTTTGAGGTTACACCACCAATGAAGAGCATGAATACATATTTAATTTAAAAACTTTGCTTTTAGTAGAATAAGCTTTTATTTTATTTTAAAAGCAAGAGAGTATATCATGGTTGGAAGTACCTTGAAAATATAATTGGTGAATTGCAAGAAAAATCATTGTTTTCTTCTTGATAAAATATATTACAAAATACATTGTAAAAAATACTCTGCACTCTAAAAATCATTTCAATATACTATTTTCTGAACTTAAAACAAAATGAATATTTTTTCTCCTCAATAACAACAATCAATTCTAAGAAAGTTATGTGTTTACTTCCAAAGTTTAGAAACCATTTGTAACAGTTTGCCAACTACACACCAATTTTCAAATATTCGTAATTTCTCAACAATGTAATAAGCTCTGTTCAATTTTAAAGAGGTTGAGTAACTGACTGAAAAGAAATCAGTGTTTACTTATTTTAATCTAAAATACACAATCTAACAGTTTTTTTGATACCCTGTAAACTAAATATAGATAAGGAATTACTTATATATATCAATGGAATTCAAACACACAACTAGTTATAGAAGTAAATAATATTACAATTTTTTTGATTTGATGGAAAGAGAATAAGAATAAAATTATAATAACCTTTCACTTGTATAAAAAATGTGTTGCATGTAGCATATGTATATCAAAAAAGCAATTGAAAGAAGATGGAAAATTTCATTCACGTTAGATAATTTAATAATAAAAAATGATACATATAAAATATATTACCAAGTGATAAAACTAATTATCAAGAGCCTGTTCTTTACAAAAACATTTCAATAAGAAGATCTTAAGCGTTTTTTAAACAATATTCTTACTTTATTTTTAATAACATTAAACTGTATTAATGTCTTTTAGAGAGGTAGTATTATTAATTTCATTCAATCTGCAATATTGTTACATTTTTATACCCACTATTTGATTTCCATCCCAAAGATTGCAATATTTAAACACAATGAAAAAGTTAAATCTTATAAAATATTATCTCTTATTTATTTTATGCAAAAAGAAATCAAAGTAATTCATTTAATGCTCTTCGAACACCAGAAGTATGAATAATTTTTCTCTTAAAATACATTATTTTATACTTCATTATTAAAGTATAGGATTAAATTCACCTCAATGATAGAACAGAAATTATAAACTAATAAAAAAAATTGATTGCATGTTTAAATCATAAATATCTGTGTAGAATTTGAATGGTGAAACAATTAAGTATAAAATTTTCATGGTTGGGTCAGTGCAATAATATTTTGTACCCCAAGATGTATTTCTGTCACCAAGAGAAATAATGTGTAAAACAATGTTGGTTTGAGATATTCTGTATAAGCATTTAGTACCATTTATTTTTGAAATATGTTATGTGTTGCAGTGAATGGAGTTAAGAGAAACAATGTTGCTTAGGCATAAACAATACTTAATTGGTCAATGAATTCTACATGACAGCTCATGGTCAACAATTACTCTATAAAATGGAGAAGCAACTTCAACTTATTTTTAGATCCTGATTCTGTAAATTTACAATGACACGTTATGACCAGATAGGGAATAAATAACTCTTACGGAAATAAACACAGCTTTCTGAATGCATATCACTCACTGTAAGATTGTTTCCCTATATAATAGAAATATGATAAAGTTTATGCAAAGAAAAGTTGCAATTTGCAGAATGTTTCTTTAAGGAAAAGAGATATTGCATATCACATCTTAAAGGACAGAATTGTAAATGAAAGATTTATCTTAGATTATTTTCTAAATCCTTAAAGACATTTACACAATAAACTATTTTAAATACAATTATGTATGTATTTAGCATCAGGGTTGTTTTTATCTCAATTTCCCTGATAGCAAATTACAATAATCAGAAACTAAAATATGAAATACCCAACTATCTCACAATCATTAGAAGGATTGATTATTGATTTCCCCCCTCCCCCTCCCCGTTTGACAGTACAATCATTCTTTAAAAAATAATCAAATTGCAGTTCGATACATTTGGCATGAATGCAAAATTAATGCAAATATTAGTAATACTGTAAAGGTCAAAGTCATACAGAACATTTCTTCGAGTGAGGCTTGGTTATAGAAGATCTAAAATCTAGATTGTGATGATTGTGATGTAAATATTAATTGTATATTTTTGTTGTGAACAAGTAGTGAAAGCAATGCAGAGTTGAATTTCAATGCGCAGAACTATCTTATAACTTTAAAACAAATGCAATTTTTGATATTACAAAACAATAATTTAAGATGCGTACAAATAATTAAAAAAATAAAAAATTTAAAGGTAATAATTGGAACAGTTATTACTTTTTTGATTTACAATTTAACAATTTAAATTTCATAAGAATTAGGTACTGAATTTTTTGTGTTTAAGAAAAAGATAGAAACATCTCTGTAGGAAAAGACTCCTCTATTTTCATGAATGTGTATCTTGACAAGAACTTATGCTTATATGAATGAGGAAAGAAAATTTGTTGTTTAACATTGAGTTCTACTGTGCCACCCAAAAACCCACTTTTTTAAATATTTTTTTGCTTTTCCAAACTAAAACATCACTACTTTAGGATACAAATGACTAATCCAGTTTACTTTCGAATAACTTGTTAAAATTATACTTTCAGTACTAACCTGCACTGTTGATGAGAGACGCTGCTGTGGTGGCCGAGCTTGGTCTTCAGCAGTAACCACAAGATTGTACAGTGATTTTGTTTCTCTGTCAAGAGGTCTCCTCGTCCAGATACTGCCGTTTGGTGAAATAACAAAATCCCCAGTTTCATCTCCAGTGGTGATGCTGTACTCAATGCGTCCATTGTCCCCTGCAAAATAGTAACATAAAAATTAGGAATGAGGCAGTTAGGCATGAGGCAATTAGGCATGAGGGTATTTATTTCACATTCTTCACCATTATTGATAAAAGTTAATAATTTTATAGTCATCATTTCTGGATATTCAAATGTGCAATGAGGTAATTGAGATCACACAGCTCAAACCTTTGAAAACAATACATGTAACTGAGACCACAGGCTACAGAAGATATCATTGGCTTTCAAGGAAAAAGTATAAAGTCCAAAAATGCGTGTTATTAATGATGTTAAGAGCCAAAGTTCTTTTCTTTCAATACCAGAAAAATAAAGTAAGTCTTATTTCATAGTTTCTTGGCAATGAAACCTTCAGATATATTTGAGTCCATTACACAGAAGAACTTGTCTGCACAAAAGCATTAAGTCCGGGTAATACTTTTTGCCTGTAAAACTTTAATATTGGTTTTCACAGCAGGCTTTTTCTATACATGCAAAATGAAATTAGTCCCTAACAAAAGCCATAAAAATAGAAACCACCAAACGATATGTTAAGAAATATTTGCCTTTGTATAGTGTACCGGACTGACTGCCAAAATTTAGACTTGCTCAATTGTAGAGGCTTTGAATTAAGAAAAATGATACTAAGTACAAGAATTAAAGTATTCTGATTTCATTGACGTTTATACAATGAGAAAACTTAATGAAGAATATGACCAAAGATAACAACAGGCATGTTGCCAACTGAATGAAAGTGTTGTGTTCCGTGTACTCAAGGAAGAATACATGGGTTCTGCATACGATATGAGCACTTCCATCAATAACACTGAATAAGGTTTCTTGGAAAGGGAAGAGCATCTGCTTGCCCAAAATAATTGCCAAAGCATATAGACATTTGTTTTATATCAGTACACCAAAGAAGAATGATCTTAAACTTTGTCGTGCACATATCATTCCTCAAAAGCTACAAGGCTAGTGCAATAGTGTGCCAACAACCAAACCTGCAACTGACAAAGTGCCAGAACCTACCATGGAAGATAATGCAAGTGATGTTTTGAAGATGACAGTTCAAATAAAAAACATCAATGTTTAAAAGTGTTTCAGAGAGTTCAAAAAATAAGTTACTAGGTAGTACCTTTAAATGTCAGAACAATTTTTTTGAAAGTAATTATTTTGCACAGTTAGACACTGTCGAGATTAAAGTTTATTTATTGATTTATTTATAAATCATAAAGTCTGTAGGGTCTATGGGATTTTACCATTTACCAATTTTATAACTATAAAGTTGATAAAAGTAGTAATTATATTAAGTAGTAGCCTAATACTTGTCTCAATAAACAAAAATTACTGGAAGTGTTTCAACTGAAAAGCCAATTTTTCACAATCATTTACATTTTGAAATTCATTTAGCTTAGATACATAATTTTTGATTTAATATCTTTCCTTTATAAGCTCATGAAACAAAGCAATATGAAATACATGGTTTCGCAGAAATTCCAACAACCCTACATTCTTTCCAAAAATAAGACATTATGAAATTTCCACAAGGAGTAATTCTATTTGTCTGTGTTGTAAAATAAAATAAAAATATTATTTATAATAATTCCTCCACAAAAATTCATCATAAAACTTAGATATCTCCACTAAAAAGTTCAAAATTTAGTGTATTTGATATGATATTTTTAAATACATTCACAATAATTTAAAAAATAAATTACAAGTTGGTTAAATTATATTTCTTTTTTACTACAGAGCATGCACGAATAATGGAAGAAAGAGAAACCAGACATAGAGAAATTTTGAACTGAAGATGATACAAAAAAATAATATTAAGAGTGAAAAGCAAGAACAGTTGTGGAATCTATTAGTTTTCTTTATGGCGGAAATGCACGCACCGAATATGCATATCATGAAATTATGGCATCCCTGGAATGTGTATAAGGGATTATGAAACCTTGAGTGAATGATAAAGGAATATGACACTTAGTCTGTATATATTTGTAGGTATTGTGCTCACCTGAATCTAAATCAGTTGCACTGACAGTTACTACACTAGTACCAACAGTAACATTTTCAAAAACTTCATTACTGTAACTCATTGGATCAAATAAAGGTGCATTATCATTCAGATCTACAACATTGAAGTAGACTGTCAGGGTAGATGAGAGGCTGGGCCGTCCAGAATCTTGGGCTTGAACCACAAAGATGTAATGTTGAACCTGAGAAAAAAATTATGAAGTATAAAAAACATGTTGGTACAAGACTCATTTATGACTGCATGAAACTTTGTTTCATTAATGAATGAAAAATTTAAATAATATAAATTCATTCGGTTGATATATTTTGTTTTGTATCAATGAAAATTCAATCTGCACATTTAATCAAATTCACAGTAAGCACTAAATAATATTATTCCTACAGAAAATATATATATATA